GCACATTCATCTTTGCTGGGTCTGGATCTTGACTTGGATCTTCCCTTCTTTGTCCTCATTTGATTTTGAGGACGACCCCTTACAAACAGTGCTTCTCCTTCTCCGCCCCTTCTGTTTTTCTCGCTTTCTTTGTTCATAGCTGTACAAAGCCGAACAAACTTCTCTGAGAGAAACTTCGTCATTTCCATGGAGTAGAGTAGTTTCAAGGTGCTCGTACTNTTCCCCCAACTATTGCTAACCCACCGATGTGGGAATCTGAAATATTTGACATTTCAACAGCACCTAAGCTAATGCGATAGTCCATGAGCTTGTCAAAAGTTCCAGTTTCCACCACCCTGATTTCCAGAGGCCCCATGGATTTATCAGATGCACGGCCCTGGCGGTAGAGGACGTTTAGAGATTCTTCAATTGTGAGGCAACAATCTTCAAAGATTGAAGGAGGAATTGGGGTAGAGCCTTTCCAAAATCTGGAGCCACTTGGCTCATCACAGACATCAGAAGTTTCTGAAACAGTTCTAATCTCCTCCCAACCTCTCCCTCTGTTGTTGGTATCAATTTGCTCTCTCCTCCAAACGTGCCAGAACTGCATGTGGTCCATCAAAATTTGCCCCTTTAGCAAATATTATTTATTGTTGAAGACATAATTAAGTAAACAATAGTATGGTCACATACTTCAATACCTACAACCCAAAATGTGAGATAAATTTTTTACTTAATTTCTATTCAGGAAAAAAAAAAAGGGAGAAGAACCTTGCCAAAAATTCATGAGATGGGTTGGGAGCAGAGGATAGGAGATTTATCACCACAGGCTATACGGTTGATCTCAGGCAGAATATGTTCGTAAGTGATGACAGGTACGACTTTCTTGAATGTCTCTCTATCAGTGCGGCCATTGAGATTATGGCGCTGCAAGTACTCAACATGGGCATTCTGGGAGAGGATTTCAGCAAGAACTCTACATTGGACCTCATCAACCTTGCTAGTCACCTCTTCAATGTACTCAAGATTCTTCTTGTATTCCTCTTCGATTGTGGCCTTCTTGGGGCTCTTTGGTGCCTCAGGTACGCTTCTTTCCATATCTATATAAGACTTGTAATTTCTTTCCAAAATGGGAGGGAACTCACTAGCTGAGATCTTTTACAAGGTGAAGAAAATGAATACAGCTTTTTATAAAGGAAGTATTGGGTTTTATTTGTTAAAAATATGTCAAGTGTCTCTCAACTTCTTTTGTTAATTTGGCTTAGGTAGTTCAAACTTCAAATACGAAGCTTCTGGACCGTTGAAATTATGAGCAATATAGATTTTATATCCGTTGAAATTGTAGTTGCTTATCTTATCCAGATCTAGATCTGGATCATTGAGCTAATATTTAATCAACTATGGAGCAGCTCGGTTTGAATTATGAAATGTGAATTTATTTGTTAATTAAGAAAACATTAAATGATAGTAGACTAATAATATATTATGTTAAAATGTGATCCTTCAGTTAGAGGAAGAGCTAGAGATGAAAAAAAATGTGAAGAAATCTGTTCATTCATTTCGATCAGTAACAGAACTCAAAGCAAAAGGGATTTTCTTTAGGCCAAGCTCTACTGATTCTCTGAAGGACATTAAATTCAAATGTTTTTGCTTCTTCGGGCAGCTTGACCTCCCTACTTCATGTGTTTCCATTTATAATAAGGTACTCTATCTAAATCTAATAGCTTATGAATTGTGTACAAAAAATGTGACAGACAGAGCTACTTGGACTTACATCAATTTCATGAGATCACTCATTGAAGATGTCAAGGAGCAGATAGGAAAAAATGGATACTTTTTAACATGCTAGAGCTTATGATTGTAAAGAACGCGAAACCAATAGTCAAACGATCCAAACCAGGTTGAGAGCGCCAAAGCTTATCCACCTAAAGCACTCACTTCAACTCATGTCCTGCAGAGGAAGCTAGTTGTGCTCTGTAATTGATTAAATATAGTAGTATTATAGCTGAAATATCCAGATACGCAACCACAGGAGAAAAAAAAATTGCTTGCGCATCTAGATATTTGGATCTTTGAGCTATAATACTAATATTTAATTAATTACACAGCTGCTCAGTGTGGACTAAATTAGTGTTCTCATCGGCAGGCAGTCACTCCAAGCGCAAGAAAAAGGATAGAAAAAGAAATAGAGTATGGCAAATCACTAAGAGACAACGTAAAGATTTTTACACTATTTATATATGTTAACATGTTATATATAACTGAAGTTTCAGATAACTAATCAACAGTTATTAGAAGCACGATTATCTGTAATTATCTCTTGTGAAACCTGGTAGCGCAAGTACTTCTTTACTCTGTCATGTAAAACACTATTTTGAGTACTTGAACAGAAGACTATACAGAGCCCCATACAAAAGAAATGTATAAGCCAGTAATTGATATGGTATCACCCCCAATTCAAATGACTATTACTAGAATTCTAGTTTTTGTTGGAAAAGGAAGCAAAGCTGGTACAGTTCATCCTTCTATAATTCAACGTTGAGTCTACTTTTTTTGATAAGAATGATTTAGTGACAAGGATTCAACTCAAAGCAGAACTTTGATTATCCATCTGATAAACTACATGCCATATATTGTGCATTGGAAAGGCAAATAACCATCTAATCCATGGAAGTTGTCATGTCTCGATGCAAAGAGAAATGATAATAGAAAACTGCAGAATGAAATTAAGGGCATTTTTACACCGTGTAACGCTTTCCCACTGCAAAATAAAACAATCTGAAGATGGTTTAAAAGGATAGCAAACATAAGTTCTATTAGAACAAAACTGCAGCATCTTGGCGATGCTCTCATTTCCCAATGCGTCCAGTGATTAAAAAATAAACAACGGCAAAACCAAAAAGTTGCTACGTTTGGCCAATGATTCATCATTCCTTCCACATATCAGCAAACTCATCGACTTCTAGAGGATTTGACAACTGATGCATTTTTCTCCTAGTCTTGGCTTTGACTTTCTTAGCATATTTCCCGGCCTTCTGTTTTTTCTCTAAAGATCGGATCTGGAAGCACATTAAGAGCGGAGAACATTTAGTATCTGCTCCTAATAAGCCAGTTCTTCTCCAATGCCTTGTAGACAAATAAGACAATCTACGTTTTAGCGAGCAAAACAATAAGGACCGGAGGATAAATGTTACCTGATTTGGTGAAACGTAAAATGGATTCTCGTAGAGGGTGGGGCCACCAAAGCTACCACCAAAGCTACCACCAAATATCTTAATTGGGTTCAAGCAGAATCTTGGACCAACCTATCCACATAAAGACATGAATTAAATATCAAACATCACAGACCTCACAATTTGAGCTGGCGAGAGTTTCATAGCAAACCTCAACAAGGGTCATCTTTTCCAGTGTTGAAGTTTGGCAAAATGCCAAAGTCCCACATCGGTTGGGAGTTGAGTTTGGGGGGATTTT